AAGTTTCTCCAGCAAAAGCAAGGAATACTAGACTTGACATTCTTGGTATTTCTAAAGGTTAAAAAAAAAAAAAGGAGATTTAAAAAAAAAAAATTGCCCAAGCCTTCTTTACATATTATAGAAAAGAAAAAAGGGCACACACACAGTGTTTAAATGTCCTTTGCTGGTCAGGTTTAAATATGAAAATGGGTTTGCAACCATTACTTTAAATAGATTTATTATATTATGAAGAATTTCAGGCACCAAACATCTATTTTATTTTCTAGCACAGTTAACCAGACTCCTGTTTTGGTTTCCAGAAGTCTGTAACACATCAAAAAAAAGCAGCAAGGACTTAAAATAAAGGCTATGACATTATTGCAAAATCTTTTTATTTCTAAAGCAACTGCCAGCAGCCTGTCAACTCAATACTACTATTTTAGGGCCTTCCAATTGGATTATTCACATGCTTAAAGTTAAGAAATTGTGTAAATCTTTGCAGTATTTTGGCCTTATTTTTAATTCCATGCATCTTCCCTAGAGAAAAACAGAAGGTGCAAACCTGCAGTTGTGAGAAACCTCAAAGGACTCAACCTAACATTCCTCGTGTACCCAAAACTCCCATTGAAGCCAGTGACAGTTTTGGATGCTGCTGGATCAACATCCATTGAAAAATGAAATTCCCTGAATAGAAAACAGAAGCAGCAGCAAACAAATACTCCATTTCCACTTAAAATAAAAGTTTCCAATCACTTACACAAAAACCCACAAGGTTAAAGAAAAGTAATGAGTATTCACACTACAGATTTGGGAATCTTTAGAAGCCAATTTGGATTTAATGAGCTAGTTAAGTAAAATATCCCAGCCTTAGTCATATTTCACATATTCCTAAAACAAGCTTTTACAAACCTTTTTAACTTTGGCTATGTCTGTTATTTTGTGGAGTTCTGCTAGAGAAACCTGCTGGCCTTCCACTTGAGATATTATGCTTTCCAGATTTACAGTTTTTTCTTTATCTTCAATCAGAACAATAAGCACTGCAGAATCATTGTCTGAAATACCAAACTTTTTCAATGCATCTGAAATCTAAGATAAAATGAGAAATATTGAAATTGTATTGGTCATTTTCTTATTACATGGAAGCCAGTGACCAGTATAATCTTTTCAGTCATTTTGCTAAATTTTCCAATTGTGTAAACTGGCATAGTTCCACATCTGTGGAGCAGTGCCAGTTTATAGCAGCAGAGAATATAGACCCAATTTTTACTTTGGTAAGTCATATGGTTTTGGTGTCCCAAATACCTTTGTGTCTAAAGTGTTTGTTAAGAAATTTTAGGGGTTATTTTTTTGTCAACAGGACAGTATGTCCCTAAATGATCAGAAAACTAAAGTAATTACCTTTGGCCACAGACCAAAGTTGCGTAAATGGACAATGACCACTGTATTGAACAAATCAAGTCCTTTTTTTATCTGGGCATTTTTTTTTACATGCAGCAATGAATAGGATAAGCATATACAGAAGGTTAAGGAGCATGCCTTAAAGTCTATACAAGCAGTTCTTTATTTTTTTCATATGTATGGAGATAATTTAATTGCTTCAGTGCATAGAGTGTTTAGGGCAAAGTTTGTGCTCAAATATTCAGTGGTACAGAAATTTGGGACTAGAAAACTGTTCTGAGGTCATTAGAGATGGTGCAAAATATATTTTTGAGGGAAATGTTTGGTCTTCCTAATTCTGTCCCAACTCTTTTACTTACGGCAGAGGTGAGTGAAGGCTTTATCTCAACCAAAAGCACAATGCCTCTATATTAATGACTGGTTATGCATTCAGAATGTGAATTTACATACTGGAGGAACACCTTCATAAGTCTAAAACTTTAAAATTGCCCTTGCTTTTGCAAGTCCACTAATTTTTGCATTCCTGGAGTTTTCTGGAACTTAGGGTATAATAGAGAAATATGTGGAAATCTTAATAATAAGCTAATTAGAAACACAATTTTCAAACAAAGGGGGCTTTCTTAAAAAGGAAGTGAGCTCGCACTGAGAGGCACAATTGTTTATGCACATGTAGGTCTAGCCATGTTGAAGATTTGCCACATTACTTATTATTTTGTAGCGTTTATTGTCATCAGAGAAATAGAAGTTTTTCCAATTTTGGCTCAAGTCAAGTGAATGCTTATTTTCAGCTTGGCTGGGTGGATTTTGGAAAGCTCATCTGGCAACAGAGACATTTGCTCAGCAAAGAAAATCTTACATTGTTATTTGGGGAAAGGTTGAAAATAATTTCTGCATTAAGAGTTCTAGTCTTCATTTTACCAATCCTGCGTAGGTGAACTGCTTTGTTTGTTGCCACAAGAATCTGAAATGGATCAACAATCTGCAGAACAGAATAGGAAAAGATTAAAACTATAAAGAATTAGTTTTGCCCCCCCCCAGTCAAAATCATATCATCTTAATAATGTAAACTTTCTCTCAATTACTTCTTTTTTACTGTCCTAAAATCTGCTATCCTTACATTGAGCAATAGATTATTCTGTGAGTTGTCCCACTGAAGTCAATGGGACTACTCACTGAGACAGGTAGTACTCAACCTGTTAGGATGACTGACTGTGTCCCTTAGTGATCAATGAATAACATCACTGATTAAACTGTCTCAAATCAAAGAATTTAAAGGAATCAAATCCAGCAATCTAATGGGTCAAGGTTGTTTAATAAAGTTCTTTTTCTCTCCAATAACCATTGCTTTGCTACTTCTAACAAAAGGTAATGTCAGGTTCTGAAAATAGTTATGGAGTGAAAGAAGAACAAAGGCTTCAGATGTTAGATATTAGGACATGAAGACTATTCAAACTATTTCTGGAACTAAATCTTTAAATGATTAGCATTTACTTTGACAGATGGAAGTAAATCATTCAAATAGCTTCATCTTCTAGGAGGTGAAGTGAATCAAAGACAGAAGGCTGTAAACTCTTAAAGCCCAATCCTACAATTAGATCTGCATGGGTGGACCCTTACACTTGTATGAAGTCCAAGTGAAGTCCATGGGGCTGTGGATAGGCACAGAAGTCCAACCATGTGCAGAAGCTTGCAGGAATACAAACATATCGAGTTTCGTATACAGTTCTTAACAGAGGAGGAATTATAGCTAACAAAACTGTAATACAATAGAAACAGTTATAATGGGCAATTATTTGGTGATTTGCTTACCATTGCAGGATTTATTAATGCTCCATCAATAGATCCTTCCATTGCTTTTTTTCTTAGAGCAACAGCATTTTTGACATCGTTAAACAAAACAAGAGTCACACGACAGTCAGGAAATAGTTCCAGTTGATGTGTGAAATGCTGCATCTTGTAACAAAGAGTGAGTTTGCCTTGAACCAGTATAAAACAGCCAAACCTAGAGAATTTATAAACATAATTAATGCACAGGATTCATAATACTTAAGATAACTTTGTCTCTTTCAGAATAATGTTTCTTAATGAAGCTTAAGTAGCAAATATCATAAAATATGGGTCATTTTACCTTGAATGGTTCCTTGAAATATGTGTTTACTACTTATGCTAAATAAGTGGTTTTCAATGTTTTTTCATTTGCGGACCCATACAAAATGTTGAATGGAGGTGTGGACCCCTTTGAAAATCTTAGACATAGTCTGCGGACCTAGGCGGGTCCGCAGACCACAGGCTGAAAACCACTGTTCTATGGACAACCTTTTGCAGAGCCCTTAGATATAGTCTGCAGACTCCCAGGGGTCCACGGACCACAGGTTGAAAACCACTGTGCTAAACAATCTATTCCACCTTGTATTTAGCTGTGACACTCTGATTAAGATTCCCAGAGCTGAAGAAGAACTCTGTGTAAGCTAAAAAGCTTGTCTCACTCACCAGTAAAAGATATTACCTCACCTACCTGGCCTCTCTATCATCCTGGGATCAACACAGCTACAAAAAACATTGCATAAAATAACCACTCCTGTGCGTTAAGACAGGAATTTTCAAATATTTTCTTAGTATGGACCACATTTTAATACAAAAATTGTCTCATGGACCACCACCTCTCCTATTCAGGATTACAAATCGCTTCCCCAGCCATTCACAATCAGATGACATCTCAGTCGTTTATATGGAAAAAATATTAAGAAAGTTGGGAGATTAAAGTTTTGCAGATGGAAACAAGAAGGAAGCCCAGGCAGCAGTACATGACCAGTCACTTATCTACTGGAAGGTCCCAGTCCTCTAAGGTCTTAACAAGGTGCTGCCCTGCCCTGCCCTTCTCCCAAATGGGAGTTGAAAGCACTCTGGGACCTTGTAAGAGAGGCCTTTGGTGACTATGGTCTGATTCAGTTTTACACATGCTTTCCTTCCTCCTTTTATCTCTTCTTTAATAAAATAAGTAAATGCGATCATTATGCAAAAGTTAACATATTGTAAAAAGATTTGTAAAATGTTCCATTTATTATTTTTACTCTGACAAAAAAGTTAAATATTAACTTTAGAAACTGAATCCACTGTATGTGATTAATCTGAATTTGCCCAAGAAAAAAATATCGTATCATTACTAAGAATTTTTTCTTACCCAAAAAACAGAAAAAAGTTTAAACAATATAGGCTCCAACTATCATCAGCTCCAGGCCGCCGGAGGTTGTAGGTGGGTGTGTCTGAGCCGAGGTGGCTCTGCAATGCTCTGGCAGGGACAAAGAGAAAAGCTTTATGTCTTACAGCTCCTGTCACACTTCACCCCGGGCACCTCCCGTCATGGGACACAGAGGGACACTCAGACCTGCACAGGACCCAGCCCTCTCCAGGCCCCTCCTGCAGGCCCTGCCTGAGGCATCACCCACCGCGGAGCTCTCCCGCAGGGACTGTTCAGAGCAGCGGGAGCTTCAGCAGCCAGCCCGCGCGGGCACCTCTCCCACCCCCGGTCTCCGCGTCCGGCTCAGCAGCTCCCTCCCCGCGCGTCTGTCCGTCCGACCCGCTTCCTCCTCCGCGTGCTGCGGGCAATCCCTTCCCCGGAAACCCAGGCTCGCCCCCCGCCCCGAGCTCCGGCTCGGCAGGCTCCGTTCCGGCCGGCCCGCGCCATGGAGCGCTCCGAGGCCTATGGCTTCTCCGCCGCCATCAGCGGCGCCTTCCTGCTCTCGTGCCTGCTCTTCTCGGCGCTGAACCGCGAGCAGCGCGCGCCCTACATGGACGAGGCCTTCCACGTCCCGCAGGCGCAGGCCTACTGCGAGGGCCTCTTCCAGCAGGTGCGTACGGGGCTCCCCGGCGGCCCGGCCCCGCCCCGCTTCCCCCAGCACCGCCACATCCACCCCCGCCGGGGCCGCTGCCGAGCCCCGGACCAGTGTCACCCCCTACCCAGGGTGCCGCCTGCCCCGCTAGGCGGGCCCCAGCTCCCCCCGCGGCTGGCGGGATCCCGGCAGCCCCTCCAGCAGGGGCACGGGTCGCCGTCGTGACTTCCTCCCGCAGCCTGCGGAGAGCCTGCTGGTGCGCTCGGCTTGTCTGTGGGCAAATACCGCCCAAACCCGAGTGTTTCCATTTCCACCGACCTGTGTGGAAACACAGCCCCGCCATAGACTAGAATGGCAGGGTTGGAAGGGACCTCAGGAGGTCATCTAGTCCAACCCCCTGCTCAAAGCAGGACCAATACAGATTTTTGCCCCATATCCCTAAGTGGCCCCCTCAAGGATTAAACTCCCAATTCTGGGTTTAGCAGGCCAATGGTCAAACCACTGAGCTGCCGGCTGGGAGCATAGTGCTCAGACAGGCCTGGGAGTTGGAGCTGTCATGGGTAGGGTGACCAGACAGCAAATGTGAAAAATCGGGATGGGGGTGGGGGGTAATAGGAATCTATAGAAGAAAAAGACCCAAAATCGGAACTCTCTCTATAAAATCGGGACATATGGTCACCCTAGTCACGGGTGCCAGGCTGCAAGCCCTGGACGTCCCAGCTTGAGGTAGACTCTCACGGTGCCCTGTTCCTTATCTCCTCTCCCTCTCCAGTTACACTCAAGTGAAGGGAATGATAATACTCAGAGCACTATCCTCCTGTAGTTTCTCTGTCGCCATCTTGGCATGGTATAATACAATGCGTTATGGTACCTCCATAGGTGCTGGGGATGCTGCAGCACCCCCTGGCTTGCAGCGGTTTCCATCATATACAGGGTTTACAGTTTGATGCAAGGGCTCTCAGCACCCCCACTATACAAATTGTTCCAGCACCCCTGGATACCTCTTTGTTTTTTGGTATCAGTCATTGGTCTTTTTGGATGGGAGTGGTGGAGCTGTTTTTGGCTATGTCTACACACTAAGCGCCACAGGCGGGGTGTGTAGAGTGTCTTTAGCTACAGGGCACAGTGGAAAGCAGACTTCACCCACAGTATGGTGTATATAGCTATGCATATCAGTAAAAGGCTCTGGTGGCATTGGCAGGAAAAGGCTTCAGCAGCTCACCACTGCTGCAGCTGTTCACTGTGATGAGGAAAGACTCTGGCGGGGGGGATGCAATAGGAAAAGTAGGCTTTCCCTGCTGCCTCCTCCCTGCTAGAGTCCTTCCTAGCTGCAGGGAAAGACGCTAGCAATGGGGAGCCGGAGGAGTCTTTCCCTGCTCCTGAAATCTCTCCCTGTGGCAGGGAAAGACTCCAACAGCATGGAGCTGCCGGGTTCTTTCCTCGCTGCCTCCCCCCTGCCAGAACCTTTCCCTGCTGCGAGAGTCTTTTCCTGTGGCCCGGAGAGGCTCCAGCAGCAGTGATGCATGGCTTGGGCAAGTAGAGAGCCATGCAGGGTATGTACTCGGGTACTTACTAACACCGTTCAGGTGTGTCTTTACTTGCCTGAGCCGTATCTTACCATCTGTGCTGCTATATATACCCGTTCTAGGGGGGCTACCTGTGTATTTATTCTATATGCCACAGAAAGAAATGTGCAGTGTAGAATATATGCCTCCTATCTGCTGGAGCAGATTAAACTGCTTTGGCACTCAAATGATGTGATAAGTGGAGATGAGCTTTTAACAATTCTTGCTAGTTGGTGGACTGCACAAATTATTTCTGAGGGGGAGCAATTGTCAGGCCTTAGCTATCGACAGAAAAATGTGATATAATTATAGTCATAATTTCCCAGCTAATAAGTGCTTGTTAATAACAATAGTTTGAGGAATGCATGCACAGTACTTATGTTTCATTTAAGGGTGACCACAAAGAAGGAAAATATTGCTTGGGCCCTTTTTTGTTTATGATATATAAAGAAAGCTTGGAATTCTTTTTTAAATTAAGGATTTTTTCATGCTTGTTATTTTTACTTAAGATATATCAGCCATACCAAGAATGGTCTGCCCTGAGTTTGGATAAGCTGGGGAAATAGATGGTAATTGTTCTCAAAGGTTACAGAGGGGTAGAAAAAAATGGAGGGGAAAAAAAAGATAAAGTAAAAATGAAAGAGAATAAATCTACCCTAGACATCATTGACAAAGAGAAATAAAGGACAAAGGTAGAGGGAATGGGGAAAAAAGAAAACAAAATCAAAACCATTTAGTCCACCTTCTGCCAGGATTGCAGGGTTATTCCATTTAGAAAATCTATCCAGTCAATCTCCAAAGCAACTAGGCATCTACCACTTATCTATCTCTTTTCTTCTAGTTGTCTGTTAGGTATTAACAAAAACTAAGATTTTAAACAGTCTGAATAGATGTCTGGTTTCTACTTGCAGTCAAGTTTCACTTGCTTGGTGCACTTGATGACATAGTCCTCTGGTTGGTTAGTTGGTTGTCCATAAAGTTTTTAAGAAAACTATTATGGTAGGGAAACCTAAATGTCTAGTCATGTTAAAAAAACAAAACAAGCAGAAAAATATACTTTTTTATGGATGGGTTAGTGGAGAGGGAAACATTTGTATATAGCACAAAGAAGCAAAAAAAGGGCACAGGTGCAATTTCTTTTCCTTTTCATGTTGTCTTCAGCTCTTCCAGACAAAAATGATTGTTTTTTTATAAACCAAAATCCATACAACCCTAAAAAAAATTAAAACTTTTTTTTGTGATTGAATGTAGAGTGAGACTGTTTTTGTTTACTGATCTGACTAATATTGACTATAAAGATAACCAATAACTTAATGGAAAATTAATGAGTTGGAGAGTAAGATAGAACTGCTTATCAACCTATTATTGTTTTTAATTGTTTCTGTGATGCATCTTTGGGTTTTCCCAATCCTTCAATCCCCTGTTTGTTTGGTTTTTTTTTAAGTGGGACCCCATGATCACTACATTGCCTGGCTTATACTTGATGTCTGTTGGAATAGTGAAACCTGCAGTTTGGCTCTTTGGATGGTCTGGAAGTGTAGTGTGCTCTACGGGAATGCTCCGATTTATTAACCTCCTTTTCAGTGTTGGGAACTTCTACTTACTGTATTTGCTTTTGTGCAAGATACATCATAAAAACAAGGTACACTCCGAATCCATTAGAATTACATACAGTAATACATACAGTTTTTTGATGAGACTCTAAGCTATTCCCTTACTGTATGAGAAGTTTCAGATCTCTTTGGTTTTATGCAACAAATATTTATATCATTTAGATTATTTTACGGGCTCCTTCCTTTTTCTCTAAAAACAGGTTTTTCCCTCTCCCTTAGGGGCTTGATCCTGTAAAGTTTTACACTTTACACATTTGAATAGTCCTATTCAAGTTAATGGGACTACTGTATTTATAAAGTTAATATTAATAGATTTTTATAGCCTGAAAGGGACCATTATGATAATCTAGTCTGACCTACATTCCATAGGCCTTAGAACTTCACGGAGTAATTCCTTCATCAAGCCCATAACTTGGGGTTGAGCTAGACTAGTGATACTCAGATTGAGGCTTGTGAGACCCAAGTGTCTTTTTAATGTGTCTTCTCTGACTCTTTGCAGCACATAATATTAAAACACTGTGTGATTTAATTATTAACCAATCTAAGTTATTAACCAATCAGGATGCTTTTACTATGTTATTAACCAATTGTAGTTGATAAAATAATAATACTTGGTCAGTCATTTTGCTGTGAGAATAATTTTATATATACATACACACACATACACAATATTTCCCCTGTCATACTATTTAAATATGAATATATAGTACTATAGCAAACAAAACAATGAATTCACACTACTGTGGTTCTTTGGGGTAATGTTAATCACTAATTTGGCTCCTGAACCACTGAGGTCTGAGTATTACAGAGCTAGAACTTACTGTCTGGAAAAACATCTAATTTTGATATAAAGATTTCAAGTGACATTTCTAGGTAAATTGTGCTAGTGGTTAATTACCGTATTTAAAAACGTGCACTTAGTTCTAGTCTGAATTTGCCTAGCTTCAGCTTCCAGCCTTGAGATCAATTTATGCCTTTGTTGGCTAGATTAAGGATCCCTTTATCATCAGAAATCATCTCTCCATGTAGATATTCTCAATCCAGGATAAAGTCATCTCTTAAAAAACACATGCATAAATCTTTACAAGGTCAGGGTCTAATTGAATTATTTATTAATTCTTTTGGAATAGCTTTGATTTTATATTTGTAGGTGGAAATATAAATATAAAGTAACTTGTATAAGTGAAAGCGTTGGCTTTAGTATTTTCAACTGGACTTTTTTTTTCAAAGTTTCTTTACTAGTTTATAAAATAATAATGAAAAGGAAAATAACCACAGATTAAATACGCTTAAATGACGCTCTGTGGCCAGTTTCAGCAGAAGTTATGGTAACTGTGCTGTCAGAGAATGGTGCATTTTGGATGTCATAGGGAACTGGAGTAAGATAGTTGCAGGATAGGGGCCTTAGATATGCCATGACAGACACTATATAAACACCTAAGATAGAATTGAAATTAATGTAATTTTCCTATTTTCTTCACAGTTTACTTTTAAATCACCAGCAGTGCTCTAATATTCTACATTCTTATATTTCTCTTACGCTTTATTGTCTTATGTTCCATATTAGTGTAGCAGAAGGTTGACAATGAATTGAGTGCAGTGTGCATACTGGTGTAATAAAAACTGATTCTACTCAGAAGATATGCTGTTTTATGGTACTGAGGATTCTAAAGAATGGGACCCTTTAAATAATTGTGATTTTTGTTCTATATTACTATATTACTGATAGTTTTTTTTTCTCCCTTTCTCTAGACTGTGTCTGGTTTCCAGAGAATCTTATCTACGTTAACCCTTGCAATGTTTCCTACCCTCTATTTTTTTACATTCCTTTATTATACAGACACAGGATCAGTGTTTTTTACTCTGTTTGCATATTTAATGTGCCTTTATGGTAACCATAAAACTTCAGCCCTACTTGGGTTTTGTGGCTTTATGTTTCGTCAAACAAATATTATATGGACTATTTTCTGTGGGGGAAGTGTGGTTGCACAAAAGCTAAGTGAAGCCTGGAAGACAGAATTACAGAAGAAAAAAGAAGAAAGGATTTCAGCCATGAAGGGATCATTTTCAGAATTAATCAAAGTATTACAATTTCTTACTGAGTACATCATGTCATTTAAAAACCTAGTAACTCTTATTGTTCTGACCTGGCCGTACATCTTCTTAGTAATTGTGTTCTTTGCATTTGTGGTAATCAATGGTGGAATAGTTGTTGGTGACAGGAGTAGCCATGAAGCCTGTTTCCACATCCCTCAGCTGTTCTACTTTTTTTCCTTTACTCTCTTTTTTTCCTTTCCTCATCTAATGACACTTAATAAAATTGGAAATTTCCTTCAATCAGTACGGAAGCACTTGATTCAATATAGCATACTCATTGCCATCTCTTTATTCCTGGTCTGGAAATTTACATATGTTCATAAATACTTGATTGGAGATAACAGACATTACACATTTTATGTATGGAGAAAAGTCTTCCAAAGACATGACCTTGTGAAATACATATTTGTTCCAGCCTATATATTTGCTGGCTGGAGTTTGGCTGACTCTCTGAAATCAAAATCTATTTTCTGGAACTTAATATATTTTGTATGTGTATTTGCTGTCACAGTTCCTCAAAAGCTACTGGAATTTCGTTACTTCATTTTGCCATTTTTAATATATAGGCTCAATATTCCAGTTCCACCTCTTTCCAGGCTTCTTCTTGAGCTGACTTTATATGTTGTTGTGAATGCAGTAACCTTTCATCTATTTCTGAACAAAACATTTCAGTGGCCAAATAGTGAAGAAATCCAGAGGTTTATGTGGTGATTTTGTACTCTTAAGAAGACTCAATTCTGTGCCTTTTCTGCAATGAATAAGTGACTACAGGTCCTAAAATTAAGTAAAGTGTATTGCTATGTGTAACTTTTCTGTGGACAGCATAGGGCAGGGATTGGCAACCTTTGGCCCGTGGCCCGTCAGGGAAATCTGCTGGCGGGCCGGGACAGTTTGTTTATCGGCAGCGTCCGCAGGTTCGGCTGATCGCAGCTCCCACTGGCTGCGGTTCACTGTTCCAAGCCAATGGGGGCTGTGGGAAGTGGCGTGGGCCGAGGGATGTGCTGGCTGCGTGCCAAAGGTTGTCGATCCCTGGTGTAGGGACTGAAGTGAGTTGGATGTTTATATTCCTGGAAATGAATATGAGATCTGATTTACTCTTTCTACATGATAGGGTATTACACCAAATTTATAAGGCTATAGGGTCCTGGATTTAATAAATATGGCATCAGGGAAAATTCAGAAGTGTTTCCAAACATTCTGCAATTAATGTGAAATGAGGGAGATGTTTACAGTCATAATTCATAATAATAATGTTGTTCTATGGTAAATACTTATAAAACTGTGTATCCTCTAGTGGGGGCTCTGGAAAAAGATTTATCTGCTATTAGACACCAAGGAAAAAAGTAACTGATACTTGGAAATGTTGGAGTAAACGTTAAATTCTTGGTTGGAGACCAGCACAAATAAAACTTAAAAAAAAATTGCAAATTAATTGGTAAGCATTCTGATTTCAGGTTGTAGGGTTTTTTCCAAAGTATTTCAGCAGTTAAATATTTATCTAAGTTATGACCGGTTTTCATAAACAGTAAAAATCTGCAGCGTAGGTCATTTCCATCCATATCTGTTAGAGATCAGGGATTAAATCCAGGGAAGCCAGGATTTCACCCCAGATTCTTCAGGGGTAAAATTTTTAAAGTTCCTACTTCCCAATGACTTTCAGTGAGATTTAGGCTGCTAAGTGCCTAAGTCACTCTTGAAAATGTGACCTAGGCTTCTAAGTCACTTAGGTGTTTTGAACATTTTACCCCAGATCAATATTTATAAACTCATAATGGATGAACCTTCTTTTTGAGAAATAAATGTAATTGTACAACAAAAGATAAATTGCATTTGATAACATGACGTGTTCAAAAGGGAGCAGTTTCTAAAACACATCATTACACTGTGGAGCTTAGTATAATGAACACTCTTTAAAATAATAGGCTTTCTATGTCCTGAGGTTATGTGCTTAACAAGTTTGCACTTAAGTGGGATGTAAGTGTTCTCCCAAGTAGAACTGATTGTTTCTAAGAGCTGACATATAATCTTAAAAAAGTACCAATGGCATTATTTAATTGTATTTTTACATGTTTTTCATATATATAGAAAGGTGTACTGTATATGGAAATTTTTGTTTTTAAAAAAGCACCTTTGTGTATTTTCAGAATCAAAGAACGCTGTGTTTTTTCCCCTCAGTAAATTACTTTAATTAGACTTGCAAGTATTCTTTGGACATTTCTAATAGCTTATAAAGCAGCTTTATAAATAAAATGCCCAAGAGTGAAGTGTCTCCAAGCTACTCTCTGTTCTGGGACTGAAATATTGCAGTCAGGTCTGTGTACTCACAGCAAATTCAGCCTATAAAACCTATATGACCGCCATTCCAGTTATTCTGAAATGGAATTGTTTCTCAGAAGGTCAGAGCTGTGTAGTTACTGACCCACAGCTGTCATTTCTCAGCTGTGCAGCATGCCAAATGTTGCACTCTGGCTCGGAATCCCATCCCATCCATACTCGCCCACCACTGCCCCACTTCTCTTGAGAAAGACTTAGAGCCATCCTTCAGTGAGTAATTTCTTTGAGTATTGTATTTAAAGCACTCCCCTGCTTCCTGCTTTCTTTCTTGCCCTGCCTCCAATAACAGTAATTTATTGTTAATCTGTATGTAGCATTTGAATAGGGAAGCCCACTCAGATACTTCCACATGACAGAGCCAAGTAGGAAAGAGATAGCAGAAGCATGAACTGGGTTGCATTTCAAGCACCTCCACACATCATTACCTCCAAGCCCAGCCCATACCACTGTCTTAATTTATGATTTCAGTTTGACAGTTAATGGGAGAGAATCATTCATGGCTCCCATCATTCTGCTTATTTAATTAAAACAGTAATTAATGTTATTATGTAAAAGGTGTGTGTGTAAGCTTTAAATACAACTTTAAACACACACTCCTTAATTTTGGTGTGGGGGGAATGGAAGGGCTAACCATGGGGGTTCAAGTAGTTTTTTGGCTAGAATTCTAACCTCTTCCTGATTGAGCTTTTGTGAATGTATGGGTTATGGGATAGCTGGCTTTTCCTTGATTAGATTAAAGGAGAGTGGGTCTGAATTTAAATAGTCCATGTACACTTATTTTCTGTGTAGATCTCTCTTGATATTGTGATATCTAAATGCCTTTCAGATAAACATAAGGATTGAGAGAGCTCAGTTGGGTTTCAGCTGTAAAGAAAAGAGTGAATTTAAATATAGAAAAATTGTGATGCAGTCATATTCTTCTGGTCCTGTAAAGAGAAGGGAACCCAATATAGAAGCCCCCTGAACTCCGAGCACCATGCATTTTCTGATGAGCCTTTTAGTACAGGATATTAGTAATCAAGCAGTTCATGAATGACTTATACATAGGTCTTAGGAACTACTTAAAATAAAAAGGATGAAGTTTACAAACTGAAACATCTCAACATTTTAACACCATGGATTTTCTTCCCCAGTGAAATGTGTTAATTGCATTTTGAATGAATACTATAGGGTGCTACTTCCTGTTCTTGATGCTCTGAAGTCTCCCTAGCCTCTGTTTGCCAGATGCTGGGAATGGGCAAAAGGATGGATCACTTGATGATTACCTGTTCTGTTCATCCCTCTGAACCATCTGGCATTGGCCACTGTCGGAAGACAGGATACTAGCTAGATGGACCATTGGTCTGACCCAGAATAAATGGCCGTATTTATGTATCTTACTAATTTAGAAACAGGATTGAATTGAAATACTTACATTTTCATTTAAAAAAAAAGGCATTTGGCATTCTTAACAGCTCACAGCTCACTGTTAAGAACAGCTCACTGTTCTTTCAAATAATGTTCCCAACCAGGGGAGTTTTGGTATTCATGCATTAGTAAGTTACTAAAACAGAAAATGAGAGAGAGACATTAAGGCTTTCAAAATACATTCACTTTGTATACATATGTATACATATACATCACTTTTGCTGATGAGCTAAAGGCTCTTTATTGGATTTAATTCAATTTCTTCCTGAACAGCAAATTTAGAAAACAAATGTAACATTATTTTAGCAACACTGTATTTTTCAGAAATAGAGATGGTCGTAGTCACAGTGCTATCAGTTATAAGGAAAGGTTTCAAGACTTACTGAAATCACATTTGAAATTCTGCAACTACCATTAACAATGGCATTGTTTTAATCTATTGTTAGTGGACCAAGGTTCCCTGATTTTAATAATCCTGGAAAAGAATAGTTTCTGTTTTGAAAAATTCTAATCTTTGTCTTTTGCCCCTAAAATATTTCAGTTTTTGAAATTTATTGTGGGAGATAATACCAGCCTGTAATTTTAAAAACAGAGGGGCACATCCTCAGCCCCAAAATATCTTGTAGGTGAAATGATTTACTGAAGCATTATAAAAATGAATTACTGTAAATGTTTCTAATGAGGCATCCATTTAAAAAATAATTTAATCATGCTAATTTGTTGAAGCAGGTGATTTTGTCCAGGGTGGCAGCTAACGTCATGTTTTAGCAGCATCCAAAAGCGGTAGCTCTAGATTGATTGCTTTTTTTTTTTATTAACTAGGAAAGTGAAGGGTGATCTTCCACAGTCAATATTAGGAAAATCAAAATAACTTGCATCTCAGACAACAGAGAAATATATAGAGAAAAGACTGAGTTTTGAACCTTTGAGGTTACTTCTGCTGAATTATACATGAGGGGAAAAACATGTGGATCCTCTTAGCTCCACAATGTATGTAGTTTAAAGTCAAGAGAAGAACAGGTACAATTGATTTAGCTACAATAATATGTTTGCTTTATTATAATGTGGGAAAATATAGCACATATTTTACATAAAAATAATTGTTGTGATCATCAAATAGAGGCTGAACTACAGGATGGCTTTGCATACAGTTCTTAATCAGAAAATGAGATTGTTGTTTCAGAAGATTTACAGGGGTCTTTTGGACAGCAGTGTGTGACTAGTCCTGTAGGAGTAATTCTATTTTCTTTTGCTTAGAAGTGTTACTTGACTTGCCTCATTTCTCTTTAATCCTTCAACAACCCATAACATTGGTTAATTTTGGATGCAAAATCTACTATAGATAGGTGCATTTGTAAAATTTTCTTTATTGGAGACTATACTAATAACTTTTGATAGTAAATAGCTCATACCATGTACATAATTTCTGGTCAGAATTATTCTCTGAAAATGATGTAGCCCATTTCTGTAATCTTTGAGGAGGTATGGTTAATTTTGTTTTGTGATACACACTTTTAAAAATCCTCACAAGGTGGCAGTCTTGAACCATCTTTTTCAAATTACTAGATATTTATTTTAATGATATTTGAATTACAGTGTCATGTTTCCTACCTTAGTTCGTGTTCGAGAGTTAAAACATTTAAAGTACTTTAGCACATATCCTTATGTAATTTTTTTCAATAACTTGTGTAGCTACAATGTTTGTGTTCTTAATTTGTTAACTTTTTTGTTAGGATTTTAAAAGCCATGTATTTTTGCTTATTATTTTAAAAATATTTGTTTTAATTCTAGCAAGATTTGGTATACTGTGTCTGTGAAATCCTTGATCTCTTTTCATACTTGATATTAGAAGAAACAGAAATTAAGCCTGAAAGCTCACTATTGAAATGAGGTACTTATTTTACATAGTATTTTATGGTGTGTAATGTCAAAATAGCTTTTTAGTAGGAAACCTGTTTAATTTCCTAACTGATTTCTTGAATTAACTGTTTCCCCCATCTATATTTTAGACAGAGAGCCATTCTTCCATACCTGAGATACAAATACAGCAAACAGACACATTGAGAAAAGAAAGCAAAGTAATTGTGTTTGTAAGACTGGCACAGGTGGTGTCTTCTTTTGGTTGGACTATGTGCTTTTGAAAAATGTATACTCAAAGGGCTTTGAGACATATGGTAGACTTAAAATGTCACTTAATTTTTGGTGTACTTGAAATATGTAGAGCCAGGGAGTTCTCAAGAATATTTGCCTGCATATCTCTAACTCTTGTGCTGTATTAACAATCTTAATTTTTTTAAAAAGTTTTGGCTCACTAATGTATATATTTTGCTTTAGTGTCTGCCCCTTAGGTGCATTTCAGTGAATTGTACAACATTTGCTTACAAAATATCCTTAGTAAGAGTGGTTTAGAGCTCAGCCAGCATAACCAGATGGGTTCTGCTCACCCTTTCTAGCAATAAAGTGTTTGTTTATAAGGCATGAATGCTTTCCTAGCCCAGGCATATGGACATTTGGATCTAGATAAAATGCCTGTGGGGCTTCACTTTTCATCTCTAAGGACTTTGCAATGTGCTGAACTCTTTGAACTTCCTTTTCTTCAGTGAGAGGTTGAGATGCTCCTTGCAGGAGCTAAAAGGAAAGAATGAGATTTTTCAGAAGGAAAACATTATTGTAATCTTGTTACAGATGGAATGAGAGTTGGTACTAGGAGCAGAAGTGGAAGGAGGTGATTCATGCTGGTTTTCGGATACCTTCTCCCATTGGTGGTGCACAATGATTGGGTCATGTATATAACCACATGGGGGAATTTGTCAATCTACTTGTGGTTGAGAGCATCTGGAACTTTCCCTTTGGAATGGGAAATACTCCTGGAACAGGTCTGCTCACTTGTGTGACTGACCTCACTGAATGTTTGTTTTGTAATAGTTCATCAAATTATTTTTCTTGTATTTAACTATAGTTGTTTTAGTAATCTGCCTCTTTGTTTTCAAGAAAAGTAGTATGCTAATTGGACTTGTGACTGCCATGTTTTTGTTATATATTTTTTCATATTGTTCATCATCCAAAGACTAATGTAGGTGTTTTATAAAGTAATAAATAAATACAAATTCCAAGTCTATTTTTATATATGTGTGTGTGTGTGTATATATATATATAATCTCCCTTTCAAAGATGTCTAGCCATGAGCATATCGTTTTTCTGTGTTTTTAAATAAATGGTTCTTTGCATATTTTACCAATTTTTGGCATTGTGTGCACTGTATGTTTGATTAAAATTGCACTGAATTCATTAACAATATTGTACATCTTTTCAGTGATGTAATCACTCTTTAGCTACCTTCATATCTGTTTTAATAAGATGTGAATTCCATTTGTCCCCATCAGGTCTCCAAAATATATTGTTGTGGTGGGGTAGTCTGCCCCTTAAGGGCATTTCAGCTACCAATCAGTCCTCCCTATCACATGCATGGCCTTTAAGAGCTTGGGGGTGGTCTTACACATAAGGACTGAGAAGATAGGACAGAGGGGAAAAGGGTCCTGGGGAAAAAATAGCAGTTGAAAGGAATCCCATTAGTGTATCTTTAAGGACCTGGAGCCTTGCAGAGAAGGTGAGGCAGGGATCCCCTCTCACCCAGGCAATAAGAAATGACGTGGGAGCAGGAGCCAGCATAGTGCTGTCTCCTCCCACACAGCAGGGCAGGTGACTAGATACTGTAGGGAGAAATAAGGCTTCTGCAGGGCCCCTGAATGAGCAGGGAGAAGATAGCCTCAGGGAAAGGTCTGCCTGTTGAGCCCTTCCAGCCTGAGGAGGAAGGACTGATTTGTAAGTGGGCCCAGCTGGGGGAGAAGCTGGCTTAAGCCCTGCAGCTGGCATGAACCACAGCTCCAGCTCTGTAGAAGAGAGCTGTGAGAAACTATAAGCACAATTTTGAAGACAGTCTAGCAGGTGCCAGAGAAGCTGAGGGGAGGTCTATTTTTGTCGTGATCTGCTTTTGGGGTTGAATAAACTAGACACTTGAAGGGTGCTGTTCAATGTACAAGCCTCATGGGACTAATTAAAAACACCTGGGAAACTGAGGTAGAGGTGCAATAGCAGCCCTGTACTGAGCTGCTGGGGGTGCTCCAAAGGTGAGGGGCCCCCACTACAATTGCTATAGAAAAGCTTGTCATTTACCCAATGTAAATAGAATATTTTTGATGATTAAAATTACAGCCTTTGTGGATAGCAGACTATTGCTTAAAACCCAGCTTGATTTAGAATACACAAGTCATGTCAATTTTATTGGGATCTCTTCAGATATCTAAAAATGAGCAGTGACTGGTGGAATTAGTATTTATAGGGGGCTTCAAGAGAACACCAGTAAGGGATGTTGTTGATTTCAGAGCTGGCACTCTGTTCTCTGAACTGAAGAAATGCTACGACATTGTGTTATGGAGCATGCTTTTTGTAGGAGTAAGAACATTAACCCCTGTCTTAGGCTAATTGCAACTTGGGTAATTAGGCTTTTTAAATTACACTTGCAGTTTGTTGGCTCTTTTTCACTTCCTGCTGTAAGCAGTTACATACAGTTACATTGCTGACACATTTCACCCCAGAGGTTCTACATTTCAGTAGTGTTTATTATAACAGTGCCCAAAAGCACTGATCAGGATGTGGGCACATATGGTACCTGCTAAAGTAACACAGAGGAAGACACAGTTCCTTCCCCAAAGGACTAAGGCCCAGATCCACCAAGGAATTTAGGCACCAAAGTACCAGATTTAAGCACTACTGTAATCCACAAGCCCTCTGTTCAGCTGCTGCCTGACCCTGTAGGTGCCTAAAGTCACTTGGGGCCTAAGTTTTCTTAATAAAGTTCCTCAAATGTCTAAGTTGCTGCCTCTGGGCATGTACACTGCTGCCTCATGCTAGGTGTCCAGATGCCTTTCTCGTTCTTAAGTCCCAGTGCAGTCCACAAACAATGGAAATATTAAATGTTCCTCTGCCTAACTCATGTGTGATCTAATGGGCATGCCTTCCAGAGTGGGCCCCATTCAAAATCTGCTCAGAGGTAGAGGTGTCATGTGATACTATGTCCTATATTCTTCACAGAAATATTGTTATATGATTATAGCATATCTAAGATGTATTTTATGTAAGATGGGTCATGTGAGATATCATTGGAAAGGTTATGAATTACTGATTATGATTATTATATTTGTATGCATGTATCATTTTTGTATCTGACATTAGGAATATTGTCTATGCACCTATTACAAATGTGTTTACACCTGGGGAAAGCCCACTAGACAGAATGCAATCAGTCTAGATTGTGGGCTGGAAAGGGCCATTAGGAAAAACAATAGGTCTTTGAAGATGCTAATCTCTCACCTTCCTGGAAAGCCTTCCTGTGGACACTGCAAACAGACTGAGTTGGGGCTGCAGGGTCATGTTATCACATCATCTGATACTGGACTCCATGATAAAATAGTACTTTTCCACTGACCTGGGGTGGGAATCACACTGGAAGACAAAGGATTCCCGCCATATGTAAAACCTGTTTAAGGCAGGGGAGTGCCATAATTGAGGTTTGTTCTTCACTGAATCCCCACCAAGGATGACTGCTGTTAACATCTAGGAAACAAAGAAGGGGGTGGGGGAGAGAAGGACTGAGCCCAGGCTGGAAGGGTGTCTAGCCTGTGAATGAAATAGCTGAAGTTTTAAGCTGCAGGTCAGTGCAGCTGGCCTTCAAGAATCTCTGCAATCTGCCTAAAACAACATTTAGGGTGAGAATTTGCTACTTATCCCGGTTTCTCTAGTATCTTAAGCTCAGTTTGCAGTTTTGTTTATTTCCTAAGGTGATCTGCTTTGATCTGTTTGCTAGCCCTTATAATCACTTAAAATCTATCTTTTGCAGTTAATAAACTTGTTTTTGTTTGATCTAAAACCAGTTTTTGGAATTCATAACTGGGGGAGGGGGCAAAAGACTGTGCATATCTTCCTCCACATTGAGTGAGGGGGCAAATTTCAATGAGTTTATGCTGTATAGTTCTCTGTGCAGCGCAAGATGACACAATCTTGGTTTTACACTCTAGAGGGGGTGTGCACTTGAGTGCTGGGCAATTTCTTAGCTGATCTTTCCCCTGCAGTGCTGATTTCAGCATCTGTGTGAAACTGCAGCTGGGCGTGTCCCTACCTGTATGTGTGCTGGTAAAGTGCAGTCTGAAGCCTGAGGGCTTGGCTGGCTTGCCTCAGCAATATAGTGTGAAGGGAGCGCAGGCTGGTGGAACAGGTGGCCTCAGTGGTACCCCAGTTTCAAGTGGCATCCTTGGGGAGCCCATCACATGTCCCACCTTACAACTTTTTTCCTCAGTGCTCTAAATCACTGGGAAACACAGGTTCAATTTCCCCCTCTGCTGAAGAAGGAAGAAAGGCTTTGAACAGGGGTTTTCTACCTCTTAGGGGAGTGTTCTAACCACTGAGCTATGGGATATTCTGATGTGGGAGCTCTCCCAGTCCCTCTTGTTGAAGCTGTTCCACTGTGTATGAATTAGTTATTGGGCCAGAGAGAGAGAGAGAATGACACTCTGGCCTGGTGGTTCGGGTGCCCACCTTGGAGATGGGACACCAAGAGTCCAGACCTGCTCCAAATACTGTTTCATTATTTATTCACAGTGGAACAGCTTAATCAGGAGAGACTGAGGGAGCCCCACATCAGAATATCCCATAGCTCAGTGGTTAGAGCACTTATTTGAAGGTGGGGAGCAGGGATCATAGAAAATTAGGATTGAAAGAGACCTCAGGAGGTCATCTAGTCCAACCCCCTGCTCAAAGCAGGACCAACCCCAACTAAATCATCCCAGCCGGGCCTTGAAAACCTCTAAGGATAGAGATTCCCCCATCTCCCTATGTAAGGTGACCAGATGTCCCGATTTTATAGGGACAGTCCTGATTTTTGGATCTTTTTCTTATATAGGCTCCTATTACCCCCCACCCCGGCCCGATTTTTCACACTTGCTGTCTGGTCACCCTATCCAAAGGTAACCCATTCCAGTGCTTCACCATCCTTCTAGTGAAATAGTTTTTCTTAATATCTAACCTAGACCTCCCCAACTGCAACTTGAGACCATTACTTCTTGTTCTGTCATCTGCCACGACTGAGAAAAGCCTAGCTCCAGCCTCTTTGGAACCCCCCTTCAGGTAGTTGAAGGCTGCTATCAAATCCCCCCTCCCTCTTCTCTTCTGCAGACTAAATAAGCCCAGTTCCCTTAGTCTCTCATAAATCATGTGCCCCAACCCCTTAATCATTTTCGTTGCCCTCTGCTGGACTCTCCCCAATTTGTCCATATCCTTTCTGTAGTGGGGGCCCCAAAATTGGACACAATACTCCAGATGTGGCCTCACCAGTGTTGAATAGAGGGGAATAATCACTTCCCTTGATCTGCTGGCAGTGCCCCTACTAATGCAGCCCAATATGCTGTTACCCTTCTTGGCAACCAGGGCACACTGTTCTTGTCCACTGTAATCCCCAGGTCCAGCTTCTCATTCACTGTAATCCCCAGGTCCTTTTCTGCAGAACTGCCGCCTAGCCAGTCGGTCCCCAGTCTGTAGCAGTGTATGGGATTCTTCTGTCCTAAGTGCAGGACTCTGCACTTGTCCTTGTTGAACCTCATCAGATTTCTTTTGGTCCAATCCTCCAATTTGTCTCGGTCACTCTGGACTCTATCCCTACCCTCCAGCATACCTACTTCTCCCCCCTGTTTAGTGTCATCCACAAACTTGCTGAGGGTGCAATCTATCCCATCATCCAGATCATTAATGAAAATGCTGAACAAAGCCAGCCCCAGGACAGACCCCTGGGGCACTCTGCTTGATACTGGCTCCTAGCTAGACATTGAGCCATTGATCACTACCCATTGAGCCCGACAATCTAGCCAGCTTTCTATCCACCTTATAGTCCAGGGGTCTGCAACCTTTCAGAAGTGGTGTGCCGAGTCTTCATTTATTCACTTTAATTTAAGGTTTCGCGTGCCGGTAATACATTTTAACGTTTTTTAGAAGGTCTCTCTCTATAAGTCTATATATCATATAACTAAACTACTGTTGTATATAAAGTAAACAAGGTTTTCAAAAT